AATTCAATTGACATAGCGATGAAGATAGCCATAGAAAAGGGTTATGCTAGATTAACGTGGTCGGCTAGATTAACTAGGGACTGCATTAGTTTAATATAATCAAGTTCTATGAGCATCATTGATTGGTAGGTTAGACTTGACACACGACGATTTTGATATTCGCGAGATTAACTTATGTCATTATCAAGTGTGAGGAATATTAATTTAGGGTCATATTGTGGATATGATTGATTGTGATCTACCTTTGGGCAAATATAATCGGGCTAGATTAACTACGGGTTATATTTGTCTATTGGACCTAAAGCCCATTAAGAAAAATTAGTTTTCTCGTTTGTCTACTAGAGGGAAGTGGAACTCGATAAAATTAGTGGGAGAACAATTAAATAACATAAGTCCAAACATTTAATTGTAACAATCATTTAACGCGAATTTCTAATAATCCTCTTCTCCATACCTCTCACATAATCATGTCTAAGAATCCCATAATGTCAATCCTAGCTCGACAATAAACTCAATGGCCCCAATTACCTAGATTGGTTGCGTAGTCTTAAGTTTGTGCTAACCGTTGAGGGGCGTCTCTATGTTCTGAACGAGAGACTTTCCGCCACTATACCTGCCACAGCGTCTGATGCTGAGAAGGAAACTTATGAGGCATGGAAGAAAGATGACACACATGCTAGGTGCTATATGATAGCCGCCATGGAGCCCGCGCTTGCGAGGAAATATGAGTCTCACATGCATGCTTTCGATATAAAGGCTTATCTCGATAGCATGTATAGTGAGAATATTAGGGCATCGAGGTACGCTGCTACAAAGGAGTTGATCACGGCGAGACTGCGCGAAGGGACTTCGGTCCACGAGCACTGTCTCAAAATGATCACTCTCCTTGAAAAGCTAGTGAATCTCAATGTCACCCTCCCGGCCGAGCTCTCGTTGGATTTGATCCCGTTGTCTCTTCCTAGTTCCTATGAATCGTTCATAGTGAACTTCAACATGAACAAACTAGATCCTCCCTTGGATGAGTTAATGAACATGTTGGTCAGTTTCGAGTCCACCATTAAGAAAGAGAAGTCTGTTCTCATTGCTGCTACTTCTCGAAAGAAGAGTTCTTCCCAAAAGAAGAGACAGGAAAGAGTTCCCTTCCCAAACAGCAAGTTCGAAGTAGGTGAAGGTAGTGGGGGCCCCAAGGAAAAGGTCAGCAAGCAAGTTGATGATGCTTGCCATCACTGTGGAAAGAAAGGACATTGGCGCCGCAACTGCAATGCTTACCTAAAAAAGAAAAGTTCTGAAAAGGGTACATATTTCATTGACGTAAATTTGTCTGTCAACTCTTCTTCTTGGGTATTGGATACGGGTTGTGCCTCTCATTTGTGCAATGATTTGCAGCTAATGACAAGAAGTCGAAAGCTTTGAGCGGGTGAGACCCACTTAAGGATGTGGAATGGAGCAAGAGTTGCTGCTGAAGCCATTGGCACGATTTACTTAAATGTTTTGGATTCTAGTTTTCCTATTGTTTTGAACGATTTTTTATTTGTTCCGTCCCTCATTAGAAACCTTATTTCTATTCCTGTATTACATATTGAAGGTTTTACAAAAGAATGAGAATTCGATTTGCATTATACAAAAGAATGAGAATTTTATTTGCAAAGGACGACTGTTAAACAACTTGTATGAACTAAATCCAAATAAAATACCTATTAATGTTATATCAGCAAAACGTAAGGAGATAGATCAAAACCCCGCACAACTTTGGTACGCTAGATTAGGTCATGTCTCTTTAAGAATGATGAACGATTTTATCAGTGAAGGATTGTTCTCTTTAGAGGACGTGAAATCACTACAAACTTGTGAATCTTGCCTTAAAGGGAAAAATGACCAAGTCACCCTACAAAGGGAAAATGGAGCGAGACGAGGGTCTTTTGGATTTGATCCACACAGACGTATGTGGTCCACTAAGTGTTAGTGCGAAGGGTGGATACAACTACTTTGCTACCTTTACCGACGATTATTCTAGGTATGGGTATGTGTACTTGATGAAGTACAAGTCCGAAACATTTGAAAAGTTCAAAGATCTTAGACACGAAGTAGAGAAACAACTCGGACGAAGTATTAAGAAGTTGCGATCCGATCGTGGTGGAGAATACTTGAGCATCGAGTTCATTGACTATCTAAAAGAGAAAGGGATACAATCTCAATGGACTCCACCGGGAACTCCTCAACTTAATGGAGTTTCCGAACGTCAGAATCGAACTTTATTGGATATGGTTCAATCAATGATGGGGTTCACGAACTTACCGGCATACTTGTGGGGTCATGCACTTCACACTGCCGCATATTTTCTGAATAGAGTTAATACCAAAGCAGTTAAATCCACACCTTATGAACTTTGGTATTCCCGGAAACTCAACTACAAACATCACTACAACAAAATGTGCTTATAAGGACACAAATAAACGTCCCAACATATACCATATTGAGGCACTTATAGTTTTAGGGGCAAAAAAAATATGTGTCGCGTAGTTGTATGTCGCAATAGCTCATGGGACACTTATTTATGCCCTTAAAACAAATTCCTTTCGAGACACTTATATATGTCCAAATAGACTATTTTTGAGGCACAAATATATGTCTCCTAAATATATAATACGCGTAATAAATAAACTGTGTTGGGACACTTATTATAGAGAACATATATCTATATGTGTCTCCAAAAGATTGTCATACGACATTTATAATTGTCTCTTAATATACTTATAAGGACATTTTTTAATATCCTATTAAAATCTTATCAGCACAATTATTTTTAAATCGAATAAATTTTACAATATTTAAAAATATTCAAATAAATATTACAGGATGCTCAAAATTCTTATTAAATGGGTAAAATCAAATGTCGTAACTAATTTTTGGAATATCATATGATAGTATCCAAACTAAACTTCCAATCCACATGCATAATTTAAATCATGCTATAACTACACTTTAAAAGTACATAGAAAATAAACGTGCATATAAGAAATAAAAATTAACATTCAAAAGTTTCAACAATGAAGGCAAAGTATTAGTATAATCAATCTCCAAAGAACAACAATATTCAAAGATACGAGAAATTCTCTAACAAAACAATAGTGAGACAAAATCTAGAATCAAATTCAGTGTCCTAAGTTATTTGAAAAAAAAAGATGAAAAACATCGTGTTACCAAATCATTATATGCTCGCACTACACTACGAACTCAAATTATGATTCAACCCCCATCGCCTTGATTTTTATTAATAATGAAATTCATCATCCAAAGCGACCTGCATGTACACAAATATGTATTAATTATAAATAAATAGTAAAATATTATCTCCATTCAGACAAATTTACTACATATATCAACAAATTCATTCACCATCAGTAAAGAGAATAGACTAGAATAATAAAAGGATTACCAAATCAACTAGTCCTATGAAAAGAAAACCAATAAATAAAATAGATTACCAAAAAAAAAAACTAAATCAATTGTCTATGTAAAGGAAACCATTCACTCTGCATGAAATCAAACTCTTGCTGACAATTATATTCCTATTTTTTAAGGTCACCAATGTACTTAAAATTCAAAGTTGTAAATTGAAAAAATGATCTGGTGGTAGTTATATTTCATTGTACTGTTCATGGTTGAATTCAACAGTATATCAAAAAAATCCATGCATTTGGTCCATTTAAGTATCAATATTATGTAAGTAAAGCAAAATTAAAATATTTACCAACAAACATTAACTAACAGAGATAACAAGTTCAATCTATATCTCCCAATAAGTTAATATTAAGCATCAACAAAAGACGATAATGTAGATATAAAAATAAGTTAAAGATGTTGAAGGATCAAATAGACATACCAATGATATGGGCCAAGCAACTGGTACTCCGATAGCATTTCCAATGGTTTGAATATGATTATAGGGTAAAACTAATCTTGCATCTTTGTTTACCGGATATTGAATGACAACTTGGCAAAAGTCGGGCCCCAAATCTATTCCATTTACGCTGATATGGTCCATCTTGTCCACTATACCAGTTGCCACTATTTCATTCATATTTGCAAGACTTTTCAAAACAACATAAGAACCACCCTGTGAACGAGTTTTTGCTAATTAGTGCATCAAATATATACAAAAAATTATATATATAACAAATTACATGTTTTATTTTTGTTACCTTGATAGACGTAGAAAGTGAACTTGTTCTAAATGAGTGTTCCTCATTTGAAACTGATAACGAAGGACTTTGAGCACCAACTTGCTCACTTAAAAATGCATTAGGAACTTAAAAAGAATCATTTTGTTCATTTGGAGTCGCGATTGGAGATTTTTCAGGAGCAATTTCCTGTTCTGGAAAGCTTTCAGCTTCAAGTTGTCCATCTGATTGACCTACGTGAACATTTGCTGACAATGTATCATATTTTTTCATTGCTTCCAAATACTTCGTTTTGTACTCCATGGCCTTCCTAAGAAGCGTAGAACGGCTAGGTTTTTCCCCATAAACATCAGCTGGTGTAACTCCCAATCCATACATGCGTACATGTCCATCCTTATCTTTACCCATTACTTTTGCAAATAAATCATCATCATTGTACATGTTGCTATCTTGGTGATTGTCTATGTTTTGAGAATATTGAGGAGCTAGTTGTCTCATTTTTCCCTAAAACAAAGTTAGTCATCCAAGTAAATGTAAATAAAATACTACCCCTGTCAAGCAAACTACGAACATAAAAAAATATAAAAATATTATCTAAATTAAATTATATACATAAACTTACAACTACTCCTTTTACCGCCTCACTTGTCGATGAACTATCTTCCTTATAATAGCATTCTTCAAATAATTCCGCTCGTGTAGGATATCTTCCAAGTTTTTCCTTCTACATCTAAATTAATAATTATATTCAAAAGTTAAATATTAATCATAAACAAGAAAGTAATATTAATTAACAAGAAATAATATTACCATTTTTTCTTTCACCACAGCAAAACTTTTCTTGCCCATACAATGAAACAACTTTAGCTCACCACGACTATTTTTATTCTTTTTGCTTCGTTCCTAAAGTAGTAGGAGTTTTAAGTATGAGAGTAAAGTGAAGACATGGAAGATAATAATAATATCATAAATTATATATAAAAAAAAAGTAAGAGTGATATGTATTAATTATAGTGATGTGTAATTCATACCTTCGACTTATCAGACATCCAGTGATGAACTAGAGACTTATATTGATCTTCATTGACTCGATCGGGTATTTTGGTTGTTTGTTGATCAGTAGAGATATCTGGATCAAAATTCAAACTCTTCACAGAACTTTTCCAATTTCTCCACTTTTTGTTTATGGACCTCAAAATGTAACTTTCATGTCCCGGTGGTAATTCAAATCTTGCCTACGCATATAAAATACTAACATCAATAAGATATATATTTACACTAGTTTAAAACTAATTCATTACCTTCAACTAGATTTAAAATATCTGAAAATTTGATTCATTACCTTTACAATCTTAAGCATTTCTTCCTTATATGAATAAGGCATCAGTCTCCAATCTTCATAGTTAAGGGGACAATATCTTCCATTCCTAGCAATCGTACCCAAAAAATGAGACAAAGTGCTTGTCTTATCTTGATCTTTTGGCTGTCCAAGTTCGTTGAATGAAACAACAACAAGTTCATCCGGTTGTTGTCCCCAAACCTTAGGCATACATGTAGCTCCTCTCACCCTTTTTTGTTTATTGTCGACTGCATTAATTAAGAATATACCAATTTGAAGTACGAAAATAGCAAAAGTATACAGTAAATTGCGATAAAGAAAAGTTTCTACCAATATCAACCACATTCTCCACAATATCGACCATATTGTCATTGCCAGTAGGATCACAAGCATTAGCAAAAACACCATCAGTTATTTGACATGTAGGTACATGAACATTAGACTGTAAAGTAGTTGCTTTGGATCGATTTGATCTCATATCAAGCTGCCCTGCAACTTAACATGAGAAAGTTAGTGCATAAAAAAATATGATTAAGTAGTAAAACATAAAATTAAAATTAAAATTATAATTAAGACGATTTTGAGGTTACGGTTTAAATTCGAAGCTTGGTCAGATCGCGAAGTTGTTGATTTGAGCTGAGTTGAATGCCTACCTAGTTCACCTGGAACTTAAAATAAAGAGATTAGTGAAACATGAATATAATTAACTACTAAAAATACAAAAATATGATTAATTTAATTCTGAGTTTATTTGAACTCGTACCAAGCTGAAGTGTGTTAAAATAAAAAAAATATATTGGATAAGCAATATGATTAATTGATGAAACATAAAAGAAAAACAGAAGAATTTAATTAAGTTGGTTTTAATATTATGATTGTGAGAAAAAAAAATTAGAGTTTGGTCAGAGGAAAGCAAGTGCTTTTGGTTGATTTGAATTCACACCTAGTTGACCTGCTGTAACTTAGAATAAATAAGTTAATGCAGGAAACAATATGATTAACCAGTAAAACATAAAAGTAATTTTTTAGCAATATAATTAAGTTTATTCTGAACTTACGATTTTGACAAGATTTTAAGTTAGAAGGTTGGCCAGGATGCTCAAATGCTTCACACGTTATACGCTTGCTATGAGGAGGACGATTTTTTGGAGCCATAATCTGTAAAGTAAAACAAAACAAAAATATATGAGGTTATTATAAACATTATTAAGTAAAGAGATTATTTTTTTAAGAGAAATAACTTACCAACCAAGAACTCAAGTAATGTGTATAATTAGCATCAACGAGATTCAAATAAAAGATTAAAATGCAAGAGTAGACAAATAAATGCACTTAAAACAATTCGAAAGCAGAAATTAAAGGAACACTTAATTATAGTTCAAGTATATATTCGTTGGAATAAAAAAAATTCCTAAACCATAACTCCATCTACATCTCCCCTAACCCAAATGTGTTCATCTCCATCATTCAATTGGGCATTAAAATCATTATTAGCATGAAGTGTATCTATATCAAAATTCGAGACTGGATTCATGTCAAACGAATCTCTCGCAGTTGTCTTCACAACTACACGCCACCCCTTCTCGTTCGGGTCATCTACATAAAAAATTTGTTGTGCCTGGCTTGCTAAGATGAAGGGTTCACTATTTTGCCGTGCTCGAGAAAAATTAACCAAGGTGAAACCATATTCATCTTGCTTCACTGCGCTTCCTGTTGAGACCCAATCACAATCAAACACTACAACTTTTCTCCCCTCAGAGTATTCAAGTTCAATTATATCATTTAATACCCCATAGTAAGTGACATCTCCAATAATTGGATTATTGTCACTTCTACTTGCAAAACTACTAGTTTGTGCTGTGACAACCACACCATTGTTTTGTGTCTTCCTTCTATTCTCAGTAGTTTTTACATGGAACCGAAAACCATTGATAATAAATCCACGATATCGCTTTCGAGATGGATTAGGACCTCGAGCTAAGGCCCTCAATTCTTTCGAAACTTCATTTCCAGCAAGATGTAATCCTTCAACCTATTTGATTTTGATTCTATATTAGAAAACCATATGAAATATAAAATCAAAAAAATTAAAAAATAATAAAATAAAAAATTATATGACATGTCTTACACGATTATATAACCAATTGGCAAAAGTTTCACTGCTGATTCTTTCAATATCTCTTTTGTTGAGGCGAGGGTTTGCAGCTTTTACTATGGCCTTGTGTTCTCTGTAGAAAATTTACACATGAAAAATATAAATATACAACAATACAAATAAAGTTCATTAATTTTTTATATAAAATATCTTACTCAATGAAAGAGTCAGCTTCACCGCAATTGAACAAAATATATTGATGTGCCTTGGTACATATTTTCTTATCAAGAACTATGCAATTTCTTCTCCCAATATGACGTCCGGGATAAGAGTAGATAGGAAACTCTAATGTGCTCTCACCACGAATATCCTCATTCCTATGAAGCTTGTTAAATTTAGTCTCCACATCCTCAAAGTATCTAGAACAAAAGTTTAAGCATTCTTCCATCAAATAACCTTCGGCAATCGAACCCTCAGGACGACTTCGGTTACAAACATATGATTTTAATGTCGATAAATACCTGTAGTTGAAATACATAATAAAATTAATTATTTTTTAGTACAAATTAATCAAGAAAATAAATAAAAATTACCTTTGAATAGGATACATCCAACGGTATTGTACTGGTCCTCCAAGTCGAGCCTCATATGCCAAATGTATTGTTAAATGAACCATGACATCAAAAAAAGATGGGGGGAATATTTTTTCCAACTCACAAAGAATATTGGAAATTTCTTCTTCCAAACGAATTAAATCTTGGGGATTAAGAACTTTAGAACACAACTCTCTAAAAAAGGTGCACAAGTTAATCAAAGGTGTTCGAACGTGCTTCGGTAAAAGTTTACGCAAACTAATCGGAAGCAATTGTTGCATCAGTATATGATTGTCATGGCTTTTTAGACCGGAGAGTTTAAATGGTTTAGCTTGCACACGCTTGGAAATATTGGAAGCATATCCATCTGGAACTTTAACATTCTGTAGGATCTCAAAAAAATACTTCTTTCTCCTTTTTGCTCATTGAAAAAGATGCAGCAGGCAAATACTTTCTTCCAGATTCAAGAATAGTAGGATGAAGTGCATGTCTTATTCCCATATCTTTTAAATCCAGACGAGAGTTTTCATGGTCCTTTGTTTTTCCTTCCAAATTTAGTAAAGTACCAAGTACATTATCGCAAACGTTTTTCTCTATATGCATTACGTCCAAGTTGTGACGCAGTATGATATCTTTCCAATACGGCAAGTTAAAGAATATACTTCTTTTTTTCCAGTTGTAAGGAAGAGTAGGATTATCATTCACTTTCTTCCCGAATTTCACATTTAACTCACCTAAGTCCTCAAGTATTTTATCCCCTGTTAAAGGTAAAGGTGGTGTGCCATGCTCCTCTTTGCCATCAAAAGAATTAGCATCTTTTCTATAAGGATGATTAGAGCTTAAAAATCTACGATGACCCATGTAACACTGCTTTCGACTTCGATATAAGTATTTAGACCATGTGTCTTTATGGCACATTGGACAAGCTAGTTCCCCTTTCGTACTCCAACCAGATAAATTTGCATATGCCGGAAAATCATTAATGGTCCACAATAAAGAGACACGCATATTAAAATTTTTCTTGCTTGATGCATCATATGTTTCGACCCCATTCCACAATTCCTTTAGTTCTTCTACCAAAGGTTGTAAGTACACATCAATGTTATTCCCAGGAGATGATGGACCAGGTATAAGTAGAGTCAAAAAGAAAAATGGCTCTTTCATGCACATCCATGGAGGTATGTTATATGGGGTCACTATCACAGGCCATGTACTGTGAGTGACACTTAAAGTTTTAAATGGACTGAATCCGTCTGAAGCTAGACCAAGTCTTACATTTCGGGAATCTTTTGCAAATTCTTTATGTTGACGATCAAAGGCATGCCACACAGGAGAATCGCTAGGATGTCTCATGCATCCATCCTTAGTGCATTCTTCTTTGTGCCATCTCATTAAAGATGCTGTCTTAGATGACATAAAGATTCTCTGAAGCCTAGGTGTAAGGGGAAAATATCTCAACACCTTAGTTGCAATTTTTTTAGGCTTCACAGATGAAGCTTCTTCATCAGGTACATCATTTTGACTTTGCTTATATCTTGGTGTGTTACAAATATGACAAAAGGTGTCATTTTCATGTTTTTTCCAGTATAACATGCAATCATTAGGACACGAATCAATCTTGATGCAAGAGAGTCCTAATGCCCCAATAATCTTTTGCATTTCATAATAAGACTTAGGCAAAGACTCAGTCACATCAGGAAAAGCCTCTTTCAACAACTCAAGTAGCAGTGTAAATGTTTTGTTAGACCATTTACCCATGCATTTCAAGTGAAATAATCGTAGAATAAATGCAAGTTTTGAAAACTTCTTACACCCAGGATATAATTCTTGCTGGGCATCACCTAGTAACTTGTAAAAAGTTTTAGCTTGTTCATTAGGTTCTTCTCTCGTGCTTTCATCTGGACCTTTAATCCCAAAAGCATCATGTACCAAATCATCCATATCATCGAACATATCAGATTGATCAAAATTATCAAATCTAGTTTGACTAGATGATGTATCTTCCCCGTGTATAACCCAATGCGTATAACCTTTAATAAATCCATCTACAAGAAGATGCTCTTTTGCTATCTCTCTACTTGCCCATTTTGCATTTTTACAGTATTTGCACGGACATATAATTTTTCCATTGAGAGATACATTAGCAAAAGCCATGTCTAGAAATTGGTTTAACCCATTTTTATATACTTTTGTAGACCTTGGTTTATGCATCCAACTCTTATCCATTACGACCCTACTGAAATAAAATATTGCACATTAACAACAAATAAACATGTGAACATCATACTCATATGATCTGAAAGATGTGCTTCAAGTAATAATAATTTTCATGACATAATAATATAAAACAAAAGGGCTGGGAAGAAAGCAATAACAAACCTTTTTCGTCACACTTATAACCAAATAATTATTAGGTTTGCGTTTGCGACTTGTAACAAGATAACAAAAATCGAGATGCATATCAAGTTAGATTAATTAAGTAAAAAAAATATTAAAAGACATCTATATTGGCTATTAAGAAACCAATGATTTAGAGGTACAAAACAATCATTTGTTCTAGATCTGTAGTAACGTTAAGAAACTAAGGTACTGATAAGTTTGGATCTAGATGAAAATATATATGTCACCCTAGATGTTGCTTCTTATTATACCAAACTTATCTTATAGAACACATTTTACGCAAGAAGGTTATGATAGTCCAAATGTACCTTATTGAAAAATAAAACATCATTGTGATAAAAAAACACGAACCTGAACAGCCGTAATACTTATTCCACGATCAAAAACTTCAGAGCGATGCGTAACCCCTACAATTATTTAACATAGATGTGTTATTATCACTTCTCCCAAACGAAAAATAGATATAACAAGTAGGATAAATACTATAGCGAATCCCTGGTAGAATCACGTAATATACAATTAGTTAGTTTAAGATAAATAAATCATCGAAATTATCGATGTTGAACTTTTTACTGATAGAAAATTTTATCAGCTAGTACTATCAAAATTAAGTACACAGATGACATTACAGAAACATATATACATATATTCATACAGGAAAGATGGATGTAAGATGAAATAAATAGTAATATATATAATGCTTTGTCTAGGAAAATCACACCAGTCAAGAATAAAAAAGGAAAATAGTACCACATTAGAAAGTCATTCTTCTTCACATGTCCAGAAAAACAAATAATTTCTTTATAGAACTTTAATGAAAAAACTAGTATTTTTCTCCTACAATTTCCCAACCTCTTTTTCGGAAAATCACAGAGGTTGACATGAGAATTAATTTCTAGCATATTGTTATTTCTATTTTCAATTTATACATATACATACATACAAACTTATATAAACTACAAAATCACAATTTAGGGCTTCTAATTTAATTACTGGGAATTGAAAATCGGAGGGATAAATTTCAATCTCAATTACCGTAAAGAAAAATCAGTGCCCAAATTACTTCAGAACTCGATTAGAATCTTCTCTTTCTCGTTGTTGCTGGTGAAATAAAAAAAAAAAAAAAGATGAAGGCCGTCGTTGTTGGAAGGAAGACGTACAACAGGTTTTTTTTTGAGAAATACGGTGTATTTGGGAAGAGAATTGGGGAAAACTAAAATACCGCGAAGTATTGGCGGTATACTTTTAGTATCTCCGTAATGTGTATATGCATAGCCCCACTAAGACTATGGCCCACCAAGCCATCTTCTCTTGACCTTTTCAATTACGGATATATGTGGAATAATAAATTGCATATATTGTATTTTTTTATTGCATAAATTGCATATCTTCATTGATAGAGGTGAAGTTAAGGTAGAACGAGTCACCTCGGAAGAGAACGTTGCAGACCCCTTCACGAAGCCTTTACCGAGATCGGTCCATCAGAAACATCGAGAGTTGATGGGATTGCGATTCATAGGTAGTTGGCTATAGGTCAAGTGGGAGATTGTTAGAGTAGGTGACCAAGAAGCCAACATGAGGTGTGGTCTTTCGTATTTATGATTGTAATAAACGAACCTTTATTCGTATTAACGATAAAACACATTGGCATTCTATATCTTTGTCCCTTTGTCACAAGCATAGATATAGTCCTTACAGTTATTACAAGTACTAGTAATTGATCGTTAGGATCGTGAGATATTTACTTAAGTATTATAACTGTTAAACGTGTTCCTAGTCGAAGGGTTACGCCACCAATGAGGATATCGGCCTTTCCCATTAAGAGACTAGCACTTAGTGTATGTGTACTGCATCTCATCAGTAAACGGTATTGTGATATCGACATGCATAAGTGGGTGCTCGTAAGTTGATGAGTTCATTGAACTCCCTTACCCTAGAAATCTCTATGTGGTTTTCAATAATCGTGTAGAGATATCTATGGTATAGTTGTACACCATTAGTCCTTATGACCTAGACATCACCGTGACTTCACTATAGGACCAGCTGTATCGTGACCTGTCCCTGAGTTCCACCGATGACCATCCCAAGGGCCAATGTTCGTACAGTCCGAAATCTAGTAGGAGGTCTGTGCATTGTAGTCGGGGATTGGATCGCTAGAATAGTCTTGGATGTCATGTGTGTTCTGAAATTTTGTAATCATTCTAAGTCTCTGGCCAGAGCTGACTAAGTGATGATTAGAGAATTCGATTCTCTAAGTCATGCACGTAATGATTACAACACTTAGAACGATCGCACAGTCATTGAACATATAAAGAGGTCTCGACGAACCAATGCCTCTAGTTCAATCGGGACATATGAATCGAAGGGACTGTACTGTACGTTAACTATATCTGAAGGTTCTTGCACGCACTTCATTTGTATCTAGGGAATCAGGACGCGTAGTTGCTAGATGCCAATCTTGATTCGTTGGGTGATTAAGGTGAAACGAGCTTCATCTTAATCGTAACTCTAAGGGACGAGTTTTGACCACAAAGAGTTGTGGGCCCACGCCTAGCTTACACCTGAACCATCGAGGGTCACACTGCTCGTGCACATGAGATCTTTGAATAAACGGTCAGAGATAAAATAGTTTATCTTTGCATGATTGGAAGTCAATATGATTAGGTCCAACATTCGTAATTTGGAATTATGTATGAGAATAAGAAAAGGAAAAGAATAGGCAAACGTTTTAGGGAACTTTCTAAATCGGGAAGTTTCCAAATTTAGAAAGTGCACTGAATTAGGGTTTCCACTTTTGAAAAGTTGGAAATTGAGAGTTGTCATTTGTAATGACGAGGACATTATAATGATTCCGAAAATGTAATCGTTACAATTTTCCGATCATTGAATTGAGAGAGACGAGCAAGTAAAAGAACTAACGAACTTAAGCTGTTGGGCACGGTCCAACTTAAGCCCGTTAGGGTTTTATGCAAGACACTATAAATACATGATTTATAGGTCTTGCACAAACACACAAGACCTAACCCTAACCCTAGCCGTCCCTCTCTCTCTCGGCCACTCTTTCCCGCGGCCACCACCGGCGTCGCCGCCGCCGTCTTGCCGGAATCGGCCATCCGTTGGCCGATCCCCTTCGGTATTCCTTTCCTTCTTTCTTTTCTTCCGTTATTTCTAACTATTACATGTCTAGTGCCACGTTTTTAATAGATCAAAGTATACGAGGTGAAATCCGAGAGGAGGAAGATCGAAGATCGAAGAATCGAGGAGCAGCACACGAGCCGAAGCCTGACGCATCCCCGCGCGCTGCCCGAAGACCGCGCGTGAGTCACACGCGCCGCCGTGGCCCTTCTCGCCGTTGCTTCCCCGGATTGTACGGATTGGTTTTTCGTAGCAATCCCGCTTTGCTTGGTGCGTCTACCTCACGCTTCAAGAGGTAAACCTTCGAATCAATTGTTGATGAATTCGATTACGTTTAAATTAAAATTGTATGTTCGTTCTTGTATGATTTTATGTGATTACATGAAATTGATTTATATGTTTCGAGCATGTTATTTGATTTAAACGCGAGCATGTTAATTGATTTAAATTTGGTTAAATAGTTAAGCATGTATGTTGTTTTTAATTTCGCTGGAAGCGCAAAGGTACACAATAATTGTTTTCAATTATCGGGCATGTGTATATGTGTTTAAAGTTGTTTAAATCGCATAAATTTTTTGTTTTCCGCTGCGTACACGTGCCTGTATCCCAACAATGGTATGCCGTACTAAAGGCTTGACGGGTCCCCATTGCTTCGTGCAAGCTCTTCCAAAATTTTGAAGTGAATCGGTTGTCTCAATTGGAAATTATTGATATAGGAATCCCGTAGAGTCGGACAATTTCTCGGATGTAAAGTTCGGCTAGCTTTTCGAGACTAAAGGTAGTCTTGACCGGTAGGAAGTGAGCGGATTTGGTTAGGCGATCAACTATCACCCATATTGAGTCGGAACCTTTTTGAGTTTTCGGAAATCCTTTAACGAAATCCATGGTTACTCTTTCCCATTTCCATTCGGGTATGAGGTTGTGTTGAAGAAGTCCGCCGGGCCGTTGGTGTTCTGTCTTGACTTGTTGACAAACTAGGCATTCGGACAAGAATTCGGGTATGTATTTGTTCATTCCGGGCCACCAATATAATTTCTTCAAGTCCTGGTACATTTTTTTTCACCCAGGTGGCAAGAGTAGGGGGTTTTGTGAGTTTCGCCAAGAATTAATTCTTTTATCTCTTTGTTTGCCGGAACGCAAATTCTTCCTTGGAATTTTAAGACTTCGCTGCCGGAGATCGCGAAATTGGGATTTCGACCGGTTGATAAGCTTTCTCGGAATTTTAGAAGTTGATCATCAAGGAGTTAGGCGGGTTTGATAGTCGACATGAGCGGCGGTTCAATGATCAAAGCGCACATGGACTTCCGGCTAAGAGCATCGGCAACAACGTTAGCTTTACCGGGGTTGTAAAGTATTTCACAATCGTAATCTTTGACCAGTTCGAGCCATCTTCTTTGTCTCATGTTAAGTTCCTTTTGGGTGAAGAAGTACTTTAGGCTTTTGTGGTCGGTGAAGATCGAACATTTCTCTCTGTAGAGATAGTGCCTCCAAATTTTGAGGGTGAGAAGAACGGCGGTAAGTTCCAAGTCGTGCGTCGGGTAATTCTTCTCGTAATCTTTCAATTGACGAGAGGCATAAGCAATTCCTCACTGACCCAAAAAATACCAAATTTTACCCCAAGGAAGAAAACTAAGTTTAAAACATTTTCAAAGTGGAAACAAGGCATTTGAGTGAGTAAAACTCCAGTTATACTGGAAAACACCCGTATGACGTTGTTTCAGTGCAGTAGTGAGAAATAAATCATAACTATTTAGATACTTACCCAAATCATGCAAAAGACCTATGAAAAATGATGATAACAGAGAGATGCAGAGACTCCTAAAATTTCATTATTTTCTAATCAGAGC